GAGGTTGCTCAGCTCATCGTCCTCACGGCGGGCATCGTCGTGAGTGTCGGTGAGTTGTGGGACCTGACTGACGAGAAGTCGTCGGGTCTGCTTCGGGAGCTAGTCGGCGGCGGCGAGACTGAGAGCGCTCCATTCGCTTCGGTCCCGTCAGCATCGACAACACCATCGGTCGTTGCCAAGGAGCCAGCGAAGACGGAGACTGCGGAGATTCTTGAGCTCGAGGTAGAGGCCCGTGGAGCTACTCCGCCGGCTCTTCCTGAAAAGCTCGAGATCTCTCGAGAGAGGCAGCGGAGAGAGCGCGGAGGTGGTTCAGCTTTGTGTGAGCCCCGAGCAGGGAAGCCGGAGATACCAACACCTCCGTCCCTGTCCGAGGGCTCCAAGGTATGCGACGATGGCGACCGAGGCGTTAGGCTGCGTCTGCGCGAAGCACCTTGTTGAGGTTGAAGGCGCCGACGGCAACGTAGACGCAGGCCATTCAAAAGTGTGCCTCGTTCAGGCTCGCCATTCTCCGCATCCGCTCGTTGACGAGGCAAAAGAGAAAAGAAGAGGAGTTTTCGACGATGAGCTCTGTTGGTCCGAGCGTTCAGCCGCTGGGCTGGCAGACGCCCGCTGCAACACCATCAGCAGCGAGTAAATCCGCGACGGGATTAACGGCCAAACCGTTACCTCGAGGAGGCCATGGTTTTACCAACGGTCTTCTCGAGGTGATAGAGGAGGACACGATGGCGAGTTGCCCTGTTCAACAGGAGCCACCGCGGGTAGCACTGCAGAAACACATCCCTGCGAGGCTACCGTGGAAACCGTTGGCCCTCCAAATAGCCGATCCGTTATACCAGTACCGCCGAGAAGTGCCAGGTACTGGTATTCCCCCGGCGAACTACGTCATGGAGAGGTGTCGTCAGGAGCAGGAGGAGCGTGACGACACGAGCCGGCGTCGGAGGAGGCGGGGACGTGGCATAAACCTGTCCTCGTATAATATCGAGTCGCCGCTGCACTCGAGGAGGCCGGTAAATCCCACCCGCGTTTCTTCTTCCGTGAGTCCTGCCGGAATTTTCGGAGGTGATCGTGGAGATGAAGATCCTACTCGTCGGAGAAGCAGGCCTTGGGAGACGACATTGCCGATGCCGTTGCCGGTGCGCCCGCCGAGCATTTCGTCGCTGGTGGGGCCCGGGACGATCTCAGCGTCGCGGCCTTGGTTGGGCTTGGCGCCGGTGCCCATAACGAACGGTCGTGCACCCTCGCTCCGCCTGCTCGCATCCGCCTAGCGGAAAAACGCTGTACCGCAACTGTGGCCGCCTAGACGTGCGTGTTTGGAGCTGCCCGCGTTGCCGGGAGGCGCACATCATCGAGAAGACGAGGATGTTTGAAGAGGGAGTGATTCGGGCCGCTGGGGCCGGTTCCGGCCAGGGCGCGCCCGTTGAGAACGCGCCAATCACTAGTGTTGTGTAGCCGCCAGGGGAGGTAGAGGCTGCTGTATTACCTCGACGGAAGCGTTGCTGGACCGGTAAGAAGAAGCGTGCCCGATACCAGCAGTACTTGCAGAAACAACCACAACAAGGAATTACTGATGCCGGCGACTCCGCCATGCGAATCCGCAAGGAGAACCGCGAGCAGAGTCGTTTGGCCAGTCAAATTGAGCGCCACAAGGAGCACAACCGTCGTCACACACCCCCTCAAAAGTGCGATACGGGTGTCATTGCTCCCGTGGCTATGGAGATTGATCCGGTGGTGCTTGTCAGGCGACAAGACCTGCAGACGGCACCATCGGAGGAGTGCACCGGCATGCCGACCGAGGCCGAGCTCTGCAGACTCATGCTTCGGTTTTTCGAGCGGTAACGGATACGCCCTGAAGGAGCATGCTGAAAGGAGACTGTAGGAAGCGACAGAGATAAGGTAAACGTTAATAGTTAATTAGTTTTTTTTGTGTTCATTTGTCGTCGTGGGCTCGGCACGGTGAAGTCGGTCGAGACGTGGGTCAGGCTTCGATTGACTGCGATCGTTAGCCTTGGGGGAGGGGGGGATGTCATGAGAGCCACGGCTCGCGCTATTGGCTCTGTCAACGTCTCTCTCTCCCCGGCGACAGTCAGGGAGAGAGAGAGTAAAAAGAATGTGATTTGGGCGCCGGCAAGGTTAGCACGCGTGAAGCGCGCCGCCAATTGCCCGCTACTTAAGGGTTTTCGGTGGGAGGAGCCTGGTGCCCAGCTGTAGACCGCGACAACGAGGCGGTGTGACACTTTTTTTTGTTTCCACCGTCTAATTGCTTGGTGTCTGCCGTGGCCTTTTGTGAAGCGCGTGAGCGAGACTATTTTCTGCTTCGCGTGTACAGCGGAGTGTGGGTGTCTGCCACGAGGCCTGTTGTCTCGAGAGAGAAGTTGAGAAGGTCTTGGGACGAGCTATCAGCATCTGCACGACCCAGGGACATCGAGCAGTTTTCTCTCTTTCGCAAAGTCGCGTCACCGGCAACCGGCGAAGGATAGGGAGGCTCACCGGTTATTTCGCTCCAGAGTCTATGGAGAAAATAGAGTAAGATAACTCATTACCATCGCGTCAGCCGGGTTCCTTGTGATCTTCCGCAGAAACTCACGGCTGCGGTGGTGCGAGTTTGCGATTGTTGTCACGTCTAATCACCGATGAGAATTGTTAAATTGTAAAGATAAATTGTAAAGATATATATGTATTGAATGAAATTTGTGAGTGATAATTGTGTTGACCATTCCTGCCTTTTCCTTCCTGTGCGCGTCGAAACGTTGCCTTTGGCGTCCCCCGCGAAGCAGCTTGGCCTTCCGGGCCCCGATTTATAAAAGAATTTGTCGTGTTCTCCGGCAACGAGAGAAATCGCATGACAAATGTTCAAGACGATAGTTACACCTGTGATTTACACTGATGTTGATAGTAATAGTTTAATAAAGACAACCTTCTTTCTAAAAGCGTTCATGGCTTTTTTATGCATTGAAGTTTCATTTCAATGTTAAATCTTTTTTCCAAATAGTATATCAACCAGATAATTTATTAAATAGTGAAACATTGCAATGAACTTCACTCGTATAGATATTTCACCTTGAATTACGCTTTTTTGTATAACGTCACGTTTGGGATAACATGGCAAATTGGCCACACTCTCCCTAAACCTACACTAGCTCTACGTATTGACATCGTTACCATACTAGTGAGCAGTAAACGAATTACCGATGAATTGAAATCCATTTTATTGTATGTTCTTTCCAAATGAGTTAACGCGCGTGCATAAATAAAATTAGGTTATTGTTTTTGACATATATATTAACAATTTTGAAAAAGTAAGAGGGGTGCAATTAAAACGAGCAAGGGTTCAATTTTTTTGCCTTGTTTCTTTGCAAAAATATGAAGTATTACTAAAGATATCGCAGTATCAAAAAACGAAAAAATTATCATAGTTTTTAATTTTTTTTGGAACAACTGAATGGATTCAATTAGAGGTATTTCGAATGGTATTTTTTTTGTCACTGTCCGTTACACTTTGGCGGCTGGGGTAAGGGGGGGGGGTATTTTGGGGGATAATGATCGGATTCTCAGCACTGTATAATATTATTATATAATATTACATACAGTGCCGCTCACGCACTTTTACCCCCCCACGGGCAAAATCAGTCTAACTTCAAAGTTTTATATCTCTGGTAGAAATTAACGTACAGAGACGCGCGTGGGTGCGTTTGAAAGGTCTTTCGGAGAGCTTTCAAATGATATGACTCACGGTTGCCATCGATTGTTTTTTTAAATTTTGCAACAATTATGCAAAATTGAAAATTCTGAAATTTTTTTATTATTTTTGACAATTAGCCAATTTTGGAAAAAAAATAGTACGAAAATTTGAAGTACACCATTTTTTAGCTATTACCAAGCCCTATCTGAATCACTCATCAAAAATTTATTTTCGTCAAATATGACGCGCGCACGGGCATTTTTTCCTGGAAGTGACAGTTTTTTTCAACATTTTTTATCTCCGTCAAATTGTAACAATCGAAAAAAATTTATAGGAGAAAAAATGTTTGTTTTTTCACGTAGAATACTGCAATAATTTTTTTTTTGGTTTTTCGAAAAATTTTTTTTTTCGGTTTTTTTCAATTTTTTTTCTCACAGTCGGTACGCTAAAAAGATGAGAAACCACAAAAAAAAATTTTTTTCCATCCGTTCAATAATACTACATAACAAGTATCGTAAATTACATAAAAAAAAAAATTTTTTTTTTTTCGACCTTGAAAAATAATTTAAACCGAAAAAAAAAATTTTTCGGAAAACCAAAAAAAAAATTATTGCAGTATTCTACGTGAAACAACAAACATTTTTTCTCCTATAAATTTTTTTCGATTGTTACAATTTGACGGAGATAAAAAATGTTGAAAAAAACTGTCACTTCCAGGAAAAAATGCCCGTGCGCGCGTCATATTTGACGAAAATAAATTTTTGATGAGTGATTCAGATAGGGCTTGGTAATAGCTAAAAAATGGTGTACTTCAAATTTTCGTACGATTTTTTTTCCAAAATTGGCTAATTGTCAAAAATAATAAAAAAATTTCAGAATTTTCAATTTTGCATAATTGTTGCAAAATTTAAAAAAACAATCGATGGCAACCGTGAATCATATCATTTGAAAGCTCTCCGAAAGACCTTTCAAACGCATCCACGCGCGTCTCTGTACGTTAATTTCTACCAGAGATATAAAACTTTGAAGTTAGACTGATTTTGCCCGTGGGGGGGGGTAAAAGTGCGTGAGCGGCACTGTATAAATATTATATATATTATTATTCGTCAAAATTTATCTAGTGAAATTCCTAACTAGTAGTCTCTAAATTAGGTACTAGTTCCAACACCTGAAACTTATTTTATTATTTTTAAAATATTAATTGCAAATGAACTAACAAACAACAATAAAAAAAGTTGTTGCTTTTTAATGAACTATCTAAAGATATAATTAGTTTACCAATTATTGTAAAAAGAACTGATTTTGGATGCTAACTTTTCAGATGTTCTCTTGCACCTACTGTGCAAACAAAAGCTATGTAAATATTTTTTTTATTGTGAAGGATTTGCGTTTGTAGTGAAATATGTTATTAGTTATTTTTTTAGTTTGAAACATAAATTTTTAGTTTATAACCTTACTAAAGATATTATATAAGAAAAGATATATAATATTTTTCAAAGTTCCAGTAATGTTTTTGGAATACAACAGAATGATTAAAAATTTGAAATTCAAAAACCTAAGATTAAGAGGAAACTATGTTCAATCTGTATTCATTTATTAGTCATTTGAACTTGGAAAATGGGTAAAACTACAAAAGTTATTGTTTGTGGAATGAAAAGTGTAGGAAAAACAGCTTTATTAGAACAACTGGTTCATGGAAACATGACTCCAAAAATGGTAAAAAATAATAATTTATTAGTTCAATTCAAAATAATGAAAAGCTATGTGCATTTGTATTTATTAATTTTGTTAATGCATTTTAATTATTTACTATTTTGAAAGTTTCTTAGTTTTTTAAAAATATTTCAGGAAATTCATCCTACCATTGAAGATACATACGTTGTGAATATTGAAACAGATAGAGGTACAAAAGAAAAAGTACGATTTTATGATACTGCTGGATTAGAACCTCTGCAAAGCAGCACAAATAATCAGCAATTAGCAAGACATTATCTCAGTTTTGCTGATGGCTATGTATTAGTTTATGATAATACAAAACCAGAATCACTAGATGTTTTATTTCCTTTAAAAAAAGATATAGACAAAAATAGAGATAAAAAAGAAATTAGCATCATAGTGATTGGAAATCAAACAAGAAATGATTTAGAACAAAACGTACTAGAAAATATTACAAATAAAGCTAATAACTGGTGTTTCAAAGAAAAATTGAAGCATTTTGAAGTTAATGTCATGGAGAGATCTACTCTACATGAAGCATTTATTTATTTATCTTCACGATTAAACCCTCCTCAAAACAAAAGTACATTCTCACAATTAAGTATGGGAAGAAGAACTGTCAAAACAGAATTAACATAAAAATCATAAACAATTACTGGAGCAAAAAATCAATGTAGATTTCTTTGGCTGGTCCATTTTCAATATTCTTTATAGATTTTCATTTTTAAACTTACTGATCACGGCATGAAAATACAAATTAATTTCATTCTTTTTATTAATTTACAAAATATATTTTGAGTATTGATATAATATATATATATTTACTACATTGTAGACCTACATTAATATAATAATCATTGTAATACAGTAAAGAACTTGTGGAAATTAAATTACATTGTAAAGAAATATTATTTATAATAAATATTATTAATAACGTAATAAATAATGTAATTGAAGTAGTTGCAGTACAGCACCATACTAAGATATTTAGTTTAATATTATTGCTAATATGTTTTCCTTCATATACATTATATGTGTTACTGAACTTAAGTATACATAAATTTAAAATTATAGTAATAAACTATGGTTTTTGTAAATTTTTCACAAATGAATTCTTTCATATTTATAGGCAAATTTATTAAGAAGTTATGTACATGAATTTCAAAACAAATTATTGAATATTAATTAAAAAACAAACTCAAATTGTACATAGATCTAAGTAGGTACTAAAAGTTAAATTATATAAACATAATTATAAATTTCTGGTATATATAGTTGACATCAAATAGCCCACTGCAAATATTATAAATTTTCCTTCAATCTTTTTTCTACGTTTTACCATTGAAAAGTAGGGAATTATAATATTTATGATATAAAATTAATAATCAAGGAAATTAAAAACTCAATTTCCTCTTTTATTTAGGATCTTCATTAAGTCAATAAATTTAAACAATGTGAATTCCTAGATAGCAAGGTTTTGGAAATTTTATTATTTCCCTTCTCAAGGTATCAAAAGTATACAAAATTACATGTATATAGTTATTCAATGAAGCAAGAAAGAATTAACAAATAATCTTCTTCTTTCTGTTTGCATGTATTACTAAATTTTTCGTGCAAATTCATGCAAGATAAATTGCGTAGATGCCCAAAACTTATCAATATTTTCAATACATTCTTGCTTAGTTGAATAATTATACATGGTAAACCTTAACTGACTTATTATATAAATTAGAAAACTAATATAATAAAATAGTAAACTACTATTTTAAGATCATAATTAAAATCATGCATGCATTCCATTTTGAAAAACAAAACGAGATTTTTAATTCAAACTTATAATTTTGCGATTGAGATTATTTGTTGTAAATAATTATTATGAGAACGTATACACCGAAGGTATACACCCACTAGCTGGAGTATAGATATAGCTTATGTGCTACATGTACATAGCATATGTAAACAATGAATGAATGTAAATAAACCTTAACCTTTCACTATATTATTTGAGTCAAAAAAATTGAACTAATTTTTAATTGTTATTTTACATTTCATTCGATGTATTTATTTTCAAGAGTCCAGATTGATTTTATATAAAATGCCTTGAGTCACGATTTTATATTCAAAATGCCTACAAATTAATGCCTTGAGTCACAAAGATAATCGTAAGGGATTGTGCTTATTCTGTTTCAAAGTGAATAGTATTGTTAATTTAAAAAATAGAAATATAATAAAAAATATAATAACTACGAACAAAAAAATTGAGGAGTGCGTTAAGAAAGTTTTGTGCGATCACGATCATTCTTCGCAAGAAGAATTTCTGACACCGATGCGAAGACAGCCCGACACAAATAATATTTTAGAAAAAAAAATGATCACATCTCACGTATGTCTAATTGTACTTCTCGAAAAAATAATTATTTATTATTGTACCATTATATTTCTCATAAAAAATAAGAAATATCCTTATCGATATTTCACCTCCTATTTATTCACGTAAAAGACATAATTAAGCAAAAATAAATTCACAGAAAAATTGTACCTTCTGTAGTCTAAATTGTACCATCAGTACAATTCCATAAATTTGTTTCTAAAAGAAATAATAGGACAATTACAAATTACCACTATTTGTTACATCTTACAAGGATGTCATGCGGAAATGCACTTTGCGCAGGCGTAGAGCTTTAAACAGCGGAAAAATTTTGAAACCAACAATATTACATACATAAATTTATATAAATTCAATTGATGATTTAGTATAGAAATAATTTAACTTGTCAGACAAAATAATTTTCTTTCATCTAACTAATTATTTTTATATTATAAACCTCGAAAATCATTGACAAAGAGTAAGATAACAGCTACACCGATTTGATTTCATGCTAATGCTTACTTTATCCAGATATAGCAATTTAAAGACAACTGTACCTCATTCATCGAACATCCGACTTAATTGTACCGCAATTAGTTTTTCAAACAATTAATTTTTGCTTACTATTTATCGATTATTAATGAAGAATTTTCGATGCAGATTCGAGGTTAGGTACGTTGCGCCGACGCTGTCGGAAGAGGGGAAATTCAAAATATTGCAGGTGGAGAACTTTCAATCTGTTGAATTTTCGTTCAAGTATAGATATTTGGAAATAACGTTGATAGAACCACTCGCGGGCACAGTTTATTCAAATTGTATCGATCATTATCATATTATGTCTCCCGAAAATCAATGGCAAAGAGAAAGATAACAGCTGCACCGATTTGATTTCATGCTAATGCTTACTTTATCCAGATATAGCAATTTAAGGACCTCATTCATCGAACATCCAACTTAATTGTACCGCAATTAGTTTTTCAAACAATTAATTTTTTGCTTACTATTTATCGATTATTAATGAAGAATTTTCGATGCAGATTCGAGGTTAGGTACGTTGCGCCGACGCCGTCGGAAGCGGGGAAATTCAAAATATTGCAGGTGGAGAACTTTCAATCTGTTGAATTTTCGTTCAAGTATAGATATTTGGAAATAACGTTGATAGAACCACTCGCGGGCACAGTTTATTCAAATTGTATCGATCATTATCATATTATATCTCCCGAAAATCAGTGGCAAAGAGAAAGATAACAGCTGCACCGATTTGATTTCATGCTAATGCTTACTTTTTCCAGATATAGCAATTTAAAGACAACTGTACCTCATTCATCGAACATCCGACTTAATTGTACCGCAATTAACTCTAACTAGTGTAAATTAAAAATTATTATCAAGATTATGAAGAGAGATTAATTTCATTTTTTAAATATTTTGAAATCAAAAGAAAGTAAAACGTTAAACAGGAAAATATATGATTGATTCTGGAAGCAAAAGTTACATGTTAAAAAAGAACGTTTATTTATTAATGTCTTCTCTAAAATAGTAATACAATTACATTTCTCGTCAACTTCGCACATGTATTAGCTCAAATCACAAATATTGCAAACATCAATTAAATAAACATAGATCTTTCAGTGCAAGATCGAAAACATCTAGTTTAGAGCTCAAACTTATTTCTCATGAGCTCGAAGCATCAGGTCTTTCAAGTATAAGTACATATTAAAATACAAAAGCTTTCAAGTATAATTATGCTAATTTTATGTGAAGCAGTTACGAATTGAAGGGCTTCAGAGAACAGAGGCGTTTGAAAAAGAATTTGAATTTTATTTAAGAAAAAGATGGATGAAAATTTACATGCCAATTAGGCATTGTATTTAAATTAATTCAAAATTACTCAACACTTTTACATACATTTGCAAATGTTTCACAACTATTTGCATCACATTTTTCCAGGGAAAGTGTAGCTAGGTACCTAATAAGACTTAAAGAAGTAGAAGACATAGATTCATTACTGTTAATGGCATATATTTATCATCTATATATGGATCTACTAAGTGATGGGATAATTCTTAGAAAAAAAGGGCTATTATACAAAAAAATATTCCATTTCAAGATACATCAAATGGTGGAAATAAACTTACAGACTTCGGTGAATATAGTATTTACGAATTAAAACGTGAATTGCGCAACACATTATTCTTACTGTAAACTATTCTAGTCGGTAGACATTGTAAGGAACGTAATTTATTCCAGATCAAATTTCATAATCAAAAAAATTAAACTATGTATTATAAGAACAGCTAATATTAAGTACAGCAATTTATGCAAACAATGAATTTGAGCAGTTTTTGCAGAAATGTTAGAAAAAATAAAGAACAAATTGAGCTTGTCATTTATGTATTTTACAGAGCCAATTTAGAATTTTTATATTTCCTCATTCACTTATTTGAATCAACGTTTTTAACTCAATTGCGGTACAATTAAGTTGGATGTTCGATGAATGAGGTCCTTAAATTGCTATATCTGGATAAAGTAAGCATTAGCATGAAATCAAATCGGTGCAGCTGTTATCTTTCTCTTTGCCATTGATTTTCGGGAGACATAATATGATAATGATCGATACAATTTGAATAAACTGTGCCCGCGAGTGGTTCTATCAACGTTATTTCCAAATATCTATACTTGAACGAAAATTCAACAGATTGAAAGTTCTCCACCTGCAATATTTTGAATTTCCCCTCTTCCGACAGCGTCGGCGCAACGTACCTAACCTCGAATCTGCATCGAAAATTCTTCATTAATAATCGATAAATAGTAAGCAAAAATTAATTGTTTGAAAAACTAATTGCGGTACAATTAAGTCGGATGTTCGATGAATGAGGTACAGTTGTCTTTAAATTGCTATATCTGGATAAAGTAAGCATTAGCATGAAATCAAATCGGTGTAGCTGTTATCTTTCTCTTTGTCAATGATTTTCGAGGTTTATAATATAAAAATAATTAGTTAGATGAAAGAAAATTATTTTGTCTGACAAGTTAAATTATTTCTATACTAAATCATCAATTGAATTTATATAAATTTATGTATGTAATATTGTTGGTTTCAAAATTTTTCCGCTGTTTAAAGCTCTACGCCTGCGCAAAGTGCATTTCCGCATGACATCCTTGTAAGATGTAACAAATAGTGGTAATTTGTAATTGTCCTATTATTTCTTTTAGAAACAAATTTATGGAATTGTACTGATGGTACAATTTAGACTACAGAAGGTACAATTTTTCTGTGAATTTATTTTTGCTTAATTATGTCTTTTACGTGAATAAATAGGAGGTGAAATATCGATAAGGATATTTCTTATTTTTTATGAGAAATATAATGTTACAATAACAAATAATTATTTTTTCGAGAAGTACAATTAGACATACGTGAGATGTGATCATTTTTTTTTCTAAAATGTTATTTGTGTCGGGCTGTCTTCGCATCGATATTTCTGACAGGTATTTGTACTTCATGTTTAAACATTATAATTCAAAAGCATGTTACGTCGAGGACGAGTCAGACTATTTTATAGCGGTAAAATTTGAATTTTTTTTATGGAAGG